AACTTGTAACTTTTTCTAGTGGTTTGGTTTTTCTTCACACAGAAAATGCCAAGCAAACCAAAACCTGCCACTACAAACAACCTGAGAACGTTCAGAATGGCCAGAAGAAGGTCTGAATACAAGAAGCAGCTGTAGTGTTCTGAGTCAGTAGGAAACTTTGAGAATTTAATCATACTATTGCTACTTTCCCACTGTTTAAACAAAGTTTATCTGGGAAGTATACTAAATTACTTGAAGAGGGTTTCTTGAAAGTTGCATGTGACTAAGATTTTACGGAAAAGAAGTCTATCTTTCTTCGTTTGTTTACTCTGCTGCATCCCACAACGCATTGCATGCCTGGCTGTGGGGATGGCTCAAGCTAGCACCCTAGCAGTGCTGGATTGAAGTCTGATTAAATTGACGCTATAGCCAAAGCGCTCTGGAGTTAACTTACCGAGACCACTGGCAAAAGGTTGTTTTGGTCCGGACCGTGGTACGATTGCTTTGTTCATGTCGACAAAAATAAACTGCAACAAGCAGTGAAACTAACCAGAGTTTGTTTTAGACAGACTAAACTCCTCAAGTGTATTTCATTTAAGACTCTTTTAGGGTTTGTTTAAGCCAGTTACCAATTATTTTGACATTGTGATCACCGTGCTCAACCCAAGTATGATCGAGCTTAAATGTATCAACTGTTTGTGTCATCAATGCACTGAATATTTTTCCAAAAGTCTTGGGCATCATCAAGATACTTTTTGCCAGAAGTCAGATGGGCCCATGTGTTTCTGATCAGATGTCAAAGACTTCTCCAGAAGAATAAGTCATTGTTTGGCTCTTGGAGTAATTTTGGTTGGCCATCCTCTCCCTGGATGGTTCACTACGGCTTCATGTTTTCTCAGTTTTTGAACAATGGCTTCCACTATAGTTCACTGGACTCTGAAGCCTTAGAAGGCTTTGTAATCTTTTCCACACTGATAGATATCAATGACCTCGTTTGTGATAGATTGGGAAATTATGTTGCTTTATTAGATCTAGAAACATACTTGTCAGACAGGTTCTATTTAAGTGTTTCTAGAAGTCTGGTAAATAGGCCTTGGTTTCTGGTCAGTGAAATTCATTCGTAGTTTTCCAGGATATAGGGACTTTTTCAGTTATGGTCAGGTGGGTTTGGATAGTAGCCAGTAGTTATGCTGACTATGAAATACTGTACCAACATGTTAGTTAGCAAAAACTAATCCTAAAGCGCTAAAGCCAACCATGTTTACATCCACCATGTGTCAATAGCACAACATGTATTACAACACAGTATTTTGCCCTCAACAGAATCAAATTTATTGACGGTACAGTTGCTCTTCAGGAAATTTCTTGAAGAAGATTAATTTAAACAGAGCCTTCTCTAATGGCTTCAGTTTTGTAATAAAGAATATCGCCAACTCTGTTACTAACTTAGGTTAATTGACCACTGCAGGCCGTCAGTAGATTTTAAACTGTCCTACAGCGATGCATTCTGGGTACAAACTCTTCACCCACTGTAAAACCATAGCAGAACTATAAACACCTGACTACTTGAGGTCAGTAACCAAAACTTCAGCACAAATGTCGCACTTGATTCAACTGAAAGCTTATGATACAGTTAAGCATATAAGAGCTTTAAATTATTTCAGAGGAAGCTAAGCGGCTAAATGTTTCAAAGGTTAGCTAAAGTGCTAATTAGCTCCACTATTAGCGCTTTAGTGTAAGTGTGTTCACTGCTGGGGTTTCGCTTAGTAAATGGGATTTTTGTATTTGCTCTGGTTATCTTTGTTGATCATGTTGGGAATTCATGTTTGTTGCCGTTGTCACGACGACGATGAAAGCATGTTGAGTCCAACATGCTTTCACTATTTAAAATATTAATCTCTCTGTTGCTCCTTTGTTCTGATGAGCGGCTCACAGAACCTGAAGTGGTGTGTTTGTGAGTTCTGTCCACATCTGAGTACACAGAACCAAAGGTTCTCTGGAACCAATTATTTTTGTCTCAAACAAGAAGGATTTTCAGGGTATATGATATGTAAACATCACCGAATGGAAAGAGGACAGTTTGGTAAACATTTCAAAAGCGGATCCGATCTGCATGCCGTGTCATACAAATGGATTTGGACTCACACAATGTGGTCAGGTTGCTTTCAGTTCTCTGCTGTGGCTCATGTGTTAACACTTTCAAAAGTTCAAATTCTTGATCCTGGAGACAAAAAAAAAAAAACAAGAAACGGCACTGGGTCTTGTTCTTCGCAGTAGCAGAATTAGGAAGAAACCTTTACGTCAAAACTGACTGAATTTCTAAGTAGATGTGTAAATACACTGTACAGTCCACTGACAGCAGGGCTGCTGTGTTACTATTGTTGGGAAATGCTGAAAACACAAAGCAGAACCAAATACAGACACTTTGAAGATGGACCCAAAAATCAACTGGACAAATCAGAAGAACCTCAGGAGAGGCAGAAATGTTTTAGAACCCATCACTCACTCAACTTTTGGCTCTGCTGGCCAGCAAAACAAACACTCTGTACACTAATTACGACATTGCTTGTTGAAAGAGACGGATTGCTTGTCTTAACTGATTCCTTTTGATGCCCAGAGTGTGACTGATGGGTCTCTCTGGCTGACCCTCACCGTGTTTTGGACTCAAAACTCTTAACCTTATTGCTTTACTATTCATTATGGTGCTTTAGTTTAGGAAAGAATGACCATGAATTTCATGTATTATATCACCCACAACAACATTTGTCTGAACTCTTGAACTTTTTCCACAATCACCATGTTTCCGTCCAGTTGTGATACAAATTTATAAAATGTTGCACAAAAGAAAATGCGAATTAGGCATGTTTCCATCTGGGGGTTTGAAACTAATCTGAGGTACAAACCCACCAGTGGATGGGAAAGTTTGCTAAGTCAGAACTTATTTGGCGAACGTGTCTCTGTTTCCTCTTTTGCGCATCAACTTTTTCAGAAAATTTCAAAAACCACCTCACGCTAACGCAAAACCTTTCCTTTGCAAAATTTGTAAGGTTTTTTCTAATTTTACCATTTCCATCGACCTTTTCTATCACAATACTTCAAAATGTGCATAAAAAAAATCTTGATGGGAACACAGCGAAATGGAACGTCAAACCCACCTCCATGTTCTGATGTCCGAGGTAAACGAAACGTACGCGACACTTCGGACTACTGAGCCCGCAACTGCAAATTAGAAGCAGCGGTAATTCAGGGAAATTTGCCTATTTTTAACACATTTGCACTTTTGTCCACATCATCATAGCACGGCATCTGCGTGTCAAATTTTTAGGATAGAGATTCCTTTAGTATAACTTGGAATAAAGACGTAGTATGAAATGTGGAAAAAGTTAAGCGCTGTGAATGCTTTCCGGATTCACTGCACAGCCAAAGCTAAGAATAATCGACGATCAAAGTTTAGAAAATCTCAGTTCACAGATGTTTTCCTACCATTCTGATTGAACTTTAGCTATTTTACAAAGCACCTGCCAAAAAATACAATCCTTAATGGGTGAAGCTGGTAAAGACATGCAGCTGGACCTGCAGTGAAATATGGTTCTATGAGGAGTTAACTCATGGAGACTGAATATAAAAGCATATCACTCTTAGGATATTAATATCCTAAAAATATAAAAACCCCTGTCTCATTTTGATTCTACAAAATTTCTCGCTTACTTGTCGATCTAAAACATAAAAATTCTAATAAAAAACACTTAAGGTTGTGGTTGTAACATGAAAAAGCTATTAAAAAAATTTATGTTTTAGTGAGAATAAGGAACATCTGACACAAAATGAGCTTTATGCAGAAATATCAAAAATCCAAACAGGTAAGAAGGTTTTATTTAACTAAATATTATTTAGAAAAAGAAAGCTTCAATATTTATCTAACAGGTTTTTCTTTTAAACTTTTTTGTGCGTCACAAAACTGAAAATTTGTGTCAGACCAAGTTCTTTGCAACATCGATGCTTTATTATTGAAACGCTCATGTTTGTAAGAACATATATGTGGGATTGCACTCATCGCAATCTCATGTTTTTTAATTGATCTTAAAATTGTGCAAATTGGAATCACGGAAATAAATTTGCTTGGTGGAAACACGGCAGTGTGGAAAAAAAATCACGTTTTTTGATGATAAAACGTTTCTCCGCTGGAATGAGGTAATTTTTCGGCCATATCAAAATTGGCATGTTTCGCAAAACTGCAACGTAAACTCTTTTTTCACATCACAAATCACTTTATCAACAAACGAATGTTACTACTGGTAAAGACGACAAAGATGATAACAGGAAGTGTTTTTTTTAAACAACTTATTGCCTAAACAAACTTATTCACGTGTGGTTTTAGTTAAGTTTTTTACTTAATGGAAAAACCGCATTTGTGCAATTGAGGTTTTTGTTTTTCTCGACTTTAGCGCGATAGCGACAAAGTTTTGCTGATGTTTCACTCTTAACTAGCTGAACTACATCCACCAAGGTGGAATGGTCTTCATGCAGTCTTGACTTCAACTCTGTTGAACACTTGTGGAAACCTGTCAACCACATCGATTGAGTTGCACTGGTTGAAGCCTGGGGTGCCATCCCACAGCAGTGTGTGACCACACTAATGGCCAGAATAAAGAGCTTGTTGTTGGCTGTGTACGGTTCTCTCATGAAGACCTCGTTTATTAAAACGAATACATTTGTTTTAATCGCCGACGTGGAATAATTCACGATGTGGTCTCGAACAACGATCGGCTCCAAATCTCCCAGGAGGAAATGAGCTTCGTTATCGTCGGTGTATGAAGAATAACAGAAAGGCCCACAGATGGCAGTGAGTCTACAGTTACACTGTTAAGGGCAGGATCAGCAAAATAGGTTTAGTCATTTTTGACCTTTGAATGACCCCTGTGTGGGAGGGGACAGAGACAGAAAAGATATAAGAAATAAAGCAAGGGGGGAAAGGAAGATGGAAATGAAAACAGAGTGAGGGGCAGTGAGGGGAGAGGGAGAGCAGTAGGATAACAGAAAGGGATAACAGACACGAGAGAAGAGAGAGAGAGAAACGTACTGTAGAGCTCCTGGAAGACAAAAGGAGGGAGGGGGATTGTTTCGCCATCTCTCTTCTCTCCCTCCGGCTTTAAAAAGTGAAACCGCTCTTTGAAGTGGGGAGGTGGGAGGAGGTGGGGGCCACAGTGCTGTACCTTCACCATCCTGTCTGGAGTGTCAGGAGTATATAATGCACGGACCTGGACCTGAGTCCCAGACGCCACACGGAGCTGCAAACGGACAACCAGCAGAGGACCCGACGCCACGACGACCATGAACGACGTTAAGCTGGCCCTGCTGGGAAGCCAGGGGGCCGGCAAGTCAGGTGGGCCACAAAAACTACTCTGATAACAGGGAAAGATTCATATTTACTTAGTTTTTTTGCTTTTAAGGCAGAGTTATAGAAATCAGTGAAAAATGTATCAATGTAAATAAATCATTTTAGACGAGAACTAATTGTAACTCTTGTGATTTCTGTGTAATAAACCAGATTCTTCTACATATTCCTGAGATGGAGCAAAATAAAATAGAACTTTTTTGGTAACTGGATTATTTTTTCTGCTTTACTTATAAATATAATATTTTCAAAATGCAGGGAAAAAAACAACACGAGCAGCAACAGAATGTACATTAGACGCCCATTCTGTCTTCAGGAAAACATTTGCTGTGTTTGTCTGAGAGATGCTGCTGGAAATTTCAGCTAATTAGTGATCAATTAATTAATCACTAATGACTCATCGTACTTGACACCATTGCTGCCTGTACTTTTGATTTTAAAGCGAAACAAATCTGTTCTACTGATCAAATTAAATCCAAACATGACATTTATTCAGAGTTTTTTTTTAAATCTTTTTAGCCGTTTTCAAGAACATCTTTTTATTCTTACATAATTACTTTTTTTTCCCCCACTTACACCTTAGACCTGACAGTAATGTGATTTCTTATTAAATCAACTGTTCAGATCTGATAAGATGAATATATTTTATAGTTTTTGCTTCGTTCATTTTGCTCATTTTGTTTAACTCCGCGAAGCATTTTGCTCTTGCTGTATGTTTTCTCATTTCAAACTTTTGAGGGTGGTTGTAATATAACAGCAATGAAAATAAATTAAAAATAAGAATGAAGGTACTAAGAAAATTTTGTATTTGGAATTTAATTAAGTCATTGAAATTTCTCTTGTAACACAAAGTTATTTACTATTTTCAAAGAACAAATATTCTTCATGCTCTTCTTCATGTCATTATTAATAATAATAGTCTAATAATTAGGATTCTTTTGCAAGCTAACAAAACAGTAGCACTTTGTTTTTCTGGATTCTTGGCATACCTGGGGAGGTCTTTATTTTCACTGACGTAATTATAAAAAAAAAAGTAAAAGAGGAATTTTTGCCCAGTTTGTGTAGATTCATCAACTAGCATGAATCACATTTTGACCCAGGTCCATGTGGAAGGTTTCGATTTGCCAGAGTTCAAACTTCACATGCAGTGGAGACCAAAATATATATATTTTTGCAAAATGAAATCATTCCAATTTTAATCAGAGAGAAGTGGAAGGAAAGCATCCAGCAGCTGGCCCCGCTCCCAGAGGCTTATTCCAGGTCTTAGATTATTTTACTTTTCTGTGCGATAACTCTTAATCCTACCCCTCACTTCAACCTCAATTACAAACTACAACATTAGTTTGTACTGTACAAACATTAGTTTCCACAGGACAAACTCTCATCAACTGAGAGTTGATAAGTAACGACCAAACTGGCCACTAGGGGGTTTGGAGCTTGATGACACAAATATTTGTCCAACAGTGAGAACAGAGAAGAGATTTGATGAGTTTCATTTCTGTAATGGACGACTGGAAGTGGCAAAAACCTGAAATGACTTCAGACTGTGGAGCTGGTGGCTGCTAAACAGCTATAGCTAGCACGAGCTAGCTACTAGCTAGCCACAGTTGAGTTTAGTGTGTGCTCTTTCTCCCAGTATGAAAACAAAAGTTTTTATTTGTATATATATATATATTACTAAAACAGAAGACAAACAGGTCTTGTTTTCGGTTCAAAAATTTGTCGGTGTGATTTTGTTTTGGTTGAAAAAAGTAGGTAAATGCCGAGAAGAGCTATGCTAACAGTGGAGTATCTGGTTTGTTTGTGCC